TCCTAAAAGTTCTGTAGCTCTTTCAGGCTTACCTTTAAAAGGTGCCTTAGTCATCTTTCCTAATAAACAAGCCTCACATGTGTCATATGAATCATCAATGATTCCAATACTCAGTCCGCCTGGAGTTTGGCTATGCGTTTCTTGTTTATATGTCCAAGACGACAATGCCATAAGTTTGATTCAAGTCTCGCTTGATCCGTTTATTGTTTACATTGTATATTGATTCATAATTACAACTATTTTGAATATCAATTTCATAAATATCATTCTGTGGTTTCGCCACGAAGTACAAAACATTGTCAAGATAAGCTGAAATTGTATTGTTGCTGAAAGTAAACATAAATTCAGTCTATTGTAATTGAGAAAACGAAACTATGTTCCTAGTAATGCTAGGTACATATAAACACTTGCTAAGTGATAAAGTAAGGCCATTTGGCAGATCCATATCATATGTGCCTTGAGCAACAGCGGCTACCTTAGCTCCATTGCCCATTCTCAGTTCCATGTGGCCTGGTTTCATCATCTCTTCACTTCTTAGTCCCTGTGAAGTGGTACATATATGTGTACCACATCCGGTGTCCAATACCCGGAAATCGCAGTCAGAAATGAATAACTCAATGGTAAACATACCTGAAGTTCCAGTTGCGTCAACCTTCTTCCTATTCTCTGCCAGTAGGGCTGGGCAGTTTCTCTTCCAGTGCCCCTTTTGGTTGCAGTTGAAGCAAACTGCATCATCAGGAATCTTTCATTTGCCCTTGTTTTTGTTGGAGCTTCCAACTTTAGTTTTACTCTTGGCTACCCCCTTCCTTTTTTTAGTTATCCCACCTTTAGGCTTGATCATCAAAACCTCTTTTGGTTTAGGGATTTCCAACATCGGAATACTTCTCTCAGCAGTTATAAGCATGCCGTGAAGCTCTGTGAGAGACTTTTCTAAACCATTCATATTATAGTTCATAACAAACTGGTCATATGATATAGGCAAGGAATTGAGAACCAAGTCGATTGCCAATTCCTTGTTTAGTGGGAAACCAAGACGGGTTAATCGGTAAACATACCCTTTCAATTTTAAGACGTAGGTACCGACCGGTGAACCCTCGGTCATCATACAGGCATGCAATGCCCTGACTGTGTCAAAATCTCTCTTGCCTGGCTTGTTGTTGGAACATAGATCTCAATGAAGAAATTATTTCCCAAGCAGTCATGTCCTCATGATCACTCAATAACTCAGGAGTCATAGTGGCAAGAATGAGACATGCTACATCCAATGAGTCATTCTAATGCCTTTCAAAGGCACCCCTGACTTCAGCGGATGCAGTTCTAGCAGGAGTGTTTGGAGGGTGGTTTTCTAGAACGTAGAGCTTCTTTTCATGCTTAAGGACAACCCTTAAGAAGCGAAACCATTCGAGGAAGTTTGTCTCGTTCAACTTTTTTTTTTCAAGGACAGACCGGAGTGCAAATTGGGACAAGTTGTTTGTGGCTGCGTCTGGGTTTGGAGTGGATGTAGAAATCTACAATATCCAAGTTCGATTTTAGAAAGGTTTAAATTAAAAAAAAAACATTTTCTAATTACTTTTAAAACGTTTGATTTTATCTCTAAAATTAAAATCCTTTTGTTTTAAAAGTTTACCCGTAAAAATTGGTTTGATTTTTGATAAACATTATCATTTTAAAATATCATATTTTAATTACCGATTTGAAATTGTTTTTCATTTGATTTTTAAAACGTTTTGCAATTATCATAGTAATAATAAAAGCAATAACCAAATAAAAAAAACAAACACAAAATAAACAACCACAAGATAATATATGGATTTGCCCCTAATGTGGTGTTGTGAGCCAACACAACCACCACGGTCAAACTAAGGACGTCTTCAAGCTCCCACTGGCCTCGCCATCTCGATGAACTCCAGGGACTCCATCTTCTTTCCATCTTCTTTGGAATGCCGTCTTTGTTGATTTAAATAAATACAACAGAATTCTATTCTATTTAAATTTGTTCTATCTAGAAAATTAAAATTAAAAATTACAACCCATGCAATTAATACATTTTAATTTTCCGACAAAAATAAATAAATAAATCAACCACGGGTCTCGGCGGGGCAATCCCTATATTACACAATATAAATATTAAACATAATATAAAACAAAAAAAGTTGGTACAATTAAATAAACATTAAATAATTGACCAAAAACAAAAATAATTAACAATGGAAATTAATCGGGATTTTAAAAGATCAAATCTAACAAGATTTTTATTAAAATCCAAATAACATATTTGGTTTTAATTAGTCCATAATTTAATTTTAAACCAGCCCTAACTTTAAACGAAATTCGGCCCAAAGTTTTAACTTAAAACCAGCCCAATCATATAAATTTAAAAAACCAAGTTTTCAATTAGTAATAGGCCCAAGCATTTTAATTTAAAATGGCTTAAAAACAGGCCCAAAGAATTATAGCCAAAAGAAGTCTCGGCCCATACGATTTTATTAGAACCGGCCCAACTGATTTCTTCGAAATCCTTTTAAAAATAAAACCTCGTTTAATGACATTCCATTTTAACTACTTCCGATTAATCGGAATAATTGTGAAAGTGGCTCTGATACCACTGTTGGGTTTTAGTTTGCGAAAATAATTGGATAAAACGCAGCGGAAAAACAGAACCCGGTTACAAAAACGTTTAGAAAAAAAATTCTAAATAAAATCCATAGCCGGATCCATTGACAATTAAAACGAATCTACACAAACCATAAGGTGTTTAAAATATTTACCTTGTGGTTGAAATTGAAACTTTGATGTAACATTAAGAAACCAAATCAGGTTTCCTCTATTGATTGTCCACACACGAACACGCTTGGAACTCACACTGGGTGCTAGCCCAAAGAATCCTAATTCTATAATTGTATCGCAAGGGTTTTGAGGCTACAACTAGTTATCAGAACTCAATCGTCTACTTTGGTTTAGCCTTATTCAGAGTAATACAGACATATTCAAGAAGAAAAAAGAGGAGGACAGATTAATAAGATAAAGATAAAGCAAGTCTTGGATAAGTCATAAGTCCTCAAGTTTACATATAACTATCTTATGCTTATCTTAATTGTTTTATTTGTTTTTCTTTAGGATCCGTGTTATTCTAGGAGTATTTTACTTATTAGTTTAAATACCTTAATTGTTTACCTTTTTGCAATATAGATCAAAATTCTCTATAATTGAATAGGGAGAGACTGCAGCCTCTCGAAAGCTGTAGGGTTTTAATACTCTAATCTTGGCAACCTTGTATCGACTCTTATCAGTTTCATCACACTTTCTTCCATTATTTACTTCAATGATTTTGTAATCAGATCACCAACACTGGAAGACTTCTTTTTTGGTAGCTTTGCCATTCTGAGAATGCATCTGATTTTCTGTGTTCGAGTCTTGAGACCATCTTCTTCTCATGCTGTATGCTGTTCTGTACAACATGTGTCAAACTTTTCTTTCAAGTGTTATCTTCCGTTGTCGAATAAAAGTACTTCAAAGGTTTCCCAGTTTCTCATTCCATATTTGCATGGTGAAAGTTCTGCGCACAAGGTTCTTTGTTTACTTAAGGTAAGCCAATGGTCATAGGCTGGGGCATCTTGTTTATTTGGTTCTGGATTTTCTGAATATGAACAAGTGCAACAACTAACTCAGAATCCTAACTGATGAGGGATATAATAAACTTTCCCGCAAGTTGAGATAAAGGAGCATGGAGAAAGAAACTTTGGCATGAGTTATTCGAAAAGGAACAACTATTGTTAGAAAGAGATTCTCATGGAAATGTGTAGGTTGCCAAAATCGCAACTGAAAAGATGCTGATTGGATCGGTTGTTCAATATTGATCGGATTAGATTGGTTGGCAAAATCCTACATCCAATCGATGATCGGACCATTCGGTTCTTCTCACATCCAATGGTTGTCAACCGATGATCAGGTCTAATTCAAATGATGGAAGCTGAACTAGACTCCAGGAAAAAGGAGGGAAAATATAAGAAGTAATTCAGAGGAAACCACACTATTGGTTATGAGGGTAGATGTGGCTTCCCATCCATCTTCAACTCTACTGCATGCTTTGAGTTATGGTGCTGCAGCTCTGTTTCATTCTTGGAAGGTAGGATTGATTCCCTCGGTAATTTTGGAGCTCCAGTTGAAGACTGGACAGTCGTAGGACGGCATGGACATTTTTAATGGATGTGAAGAGGACATATGGCAAGTTTAAGCTTGTGATTAAGAAAGCAATGGTGGAACTCGAAGGCTCCTTTCCGTTATTTTGTGTCTATGCATGATGAAGAATCATTACATCAATTGGTACCATTGGACAGTGCTACCACAACCACAACTCGTCTTTGATGTAAAGAGTTGGAATAAATTTTCTATTTCTTCCCACCTTAATGAGAAGGTTAGAATTTGGGGGTGGGTATTGCTATACCCTGGGTAGTGTGGTGGTAAAACGGTCATATTGGTAGGCTGTGGTAGGAAAGTACAAGCCATAAAAGTGCATCAGTACAAGTAGGTGATGCTGGGGTAGTAATTTGGGTGGTATTAATATAAATAAGGTGGCTGTGAAGATGAGGAAGGATTGACCAGTTTAGTGATGTCTACTTTGTTTTGGGTGAGATGAGGAAACCTTCTATAATCATACTTTATCGATTGAATTAAGCTTTGAATCACCGAATGTGTATCATTTTTCTTTATGAGGAGGCAATGCAAGCCACAATATGTATAAGAGACAATGTGAATCTAACAAAGTAGTTTGTTATGAATTGTTTGTCTTCTAACACAAGGAATGTTAATGGATAAATCATACGAGTGTATCACAACGATAGCAACAACTAGAATTTCACATATAACTGTCATCTACTTTCTGTTCATTGTTACTTGACGACTTTACATGTATATTCTCAATTATTATTCAAACAACTTCTGCATTGAGAGAGCGGTTTTGAATATGTGCAACTATGATCATGGATGGTTGAATTGTTCAGGCTCCAGTTAGTGATCGGGAATTCAGAGCAACTCTCCCTGAAACTGCTGGAATGATAGATTTGGCTTCAAAACTAATAAGTGAAGGTCAAGGATTGGAGTTAATGCCCAGGGAAGCAAATCCAGATTCCCCAATAACTGCATATAGGTGAGAATTCTAAAACCTGTTTTTTATTGAGAATACAGACATGGCCTTGCTTTGCTCTGCTGGATTTTCTGCATGGTCTGTTATAATGTTAAATTTATTGCAGGAATGTTATTAAACAATATGCCCTTTCTTTTATTTGGCTCGACTTCAATTATACTAGCCTGTTTGATGAATCAATCTGTCTTTTGCTTTGGTGGTGCAACTAGAATCAACAGCTTGTGTCAGTGATCATGTCAGTCCTTTTTCAAGCTGTGAAATATACTACTGGGATTTTATGATTACATCGACACTGTTAATTGCCGCAGTGTTAGCAATAAAACGTGAACTTTCTTTTAGTTAAGAAAATTACCTTGTTATGAACTGTAATCTAAATCAGTAACCAACTACGTATGAAGATGGAAACAGATTAATTGAGTATTTACTTGAATGGAACACAAAGATAAAGTCTAGCAATTCAGGAGTGCTACTCTCCCGAATGAACTCACTATATTCTGCATGCCTTACACCACCTGCATCATCCCTCTTAAAACTAGATTTATTGTAAGTAACTACCCAGAATACCCTTTCTAAACCCTTCTAGAATAACAAGTATGGATGGGCTTGGGCCTAAGGTCGGTACATGACATCACCCTGCCTCCAAAGAACCACCTTGTCCTCAAGATGGATAGAAAAAATATAGAAACTGTTCTGCTCGGTTGCTGCATCTTCCTAACCAGCTGCTGCTAACACAATCCTTTCCAATTCATTTCCGTGTCACCCAACAATCTAGCCCACACTTTTTTTCTTCCAATAGTTAGACCACCAATTTTCATTTTCCATGTCATTGATAAGCATTCTATTGACCAAATAGTTATACGGGATTGCTCCCCACTAATATCATTAACCCCACAACAATCTTTGGAATTGTTTGTAGGCGAGCCTTTGCTCGGTTCTGGTGTGCCTCACGCAAACGACCATGTTGTTCATCAAGGATTTTGTTTTGTGGAAGTCCATGGTGAGTGAGCTCAAAGTAAACCTTATACATATACTCCTTATAATCCTCATAGAAAAGCTTGAAGTACTGAAGAAGAATTGACCACCTTTCAAAGGAGTCTGCAAGAACAACAGGCTTTGGATCGTTTAGTAATTCTTTTCTTATATAGTAGCTTCTCCTATTAACTATAACTGCCCGAAGGCGTGATGGAAATATATCAACCGACGAGAGAAAACACATTGCAGCAATGCACTTCTAAAACAAGACAATAGTCTGATTCCTCATAAACAGCCAGGTTACTAACTGCTTCTGCAAATGACAGTACATGCAACTTGTTGGTCCATATTCAAACTTGCTTGAAGAGATGGAGAACATCCAAGGCCAAACTCTGAAGCCTTCATATCGATTCTTCTGCCAAACGGCCTAACCTGATACTGGACCAATTTAGAATATTCTTGCAGCTTTGAGTCAATTGATAACTCGAGAGACTAAGCAAGGAGCAAGTAGAGAATAGTTGATCAACATCAATCAAACTCAATATTGGACAAGGAAATCACAAAATTGGCTGTATGAATTGACAAATCAATTGCTTTGGCAGTTTTAGATCTAGATTAGCTCTAGTTATGAAATCGGTTGGGGTTGAATTCAAAGAGGATTTTGTTGACAAATTAGGTCTAAATCAGAATCCCAGTAGGGTTAGGCTTTGGTTTATAGTATTATTGAGTTTAATGAAAAGTGGGAATAATGAAGTTCTTAAACTCACAGTTCTTGATCGTTTCTCCATGAGACTTACGATTTCTAGATCATTTGTGGCTGGAATTTGCTCCTTCATTGTTGATCCAACAATTTCATGGACTCAATCAATTCATCCCTGTATGCGACATAATCGAGCTTAGACTATTTTGGGCTGTTGCACGAGTCTTGTGTTGATTGGGCCGAACCTGATGACCTTTCTCCTCCACGATTCTTATGGATGAAGGGTGGGTCGAGGAAACTGTTTCAATCACTTACTTTCTCTATGTCCTAATGGACATGGTGGATGAATCCCCAAGTGATCGAATATGAGGTGGTTAGAAGTAAACGCCTGGCGGTTCTCGGTCTGGATCCAGACGGAACCCTAAATTTTCTGGACGATTAGTAGGATGATTCTTCTTCCTTGATTTGAATCCTTCGATGTTGGATATAATATCTAAAGTTCCGTCTCTTACGGTAATTTGTCTCTTACCTTCTATTGGTAAATCTTTCTCTCTTATCTTCTTCGTTTCTCCTCCCTCCTCTTCAATTGTAATCGTGACCACAGTGAGATCATGTGGAATTGGTTTTGTTTCACTGGTGAAATCAAAAAGTTGTTCATGAACGCCCTCCTTATTTCCAATGATTGTGATGTTGATGTTACCGGGGCTCAAATTAGAATGTTGGTATAAATTGGTTGGTTAAACAGCCTCCTCACCACTTGGGGTGAAGATGCCAGATGTGATCCTCGATGATGGAGAATCGCTTCAGTTCAAAGGTTTAGCGATGTAGGAAGGTGATTTGGATTTAACATACCTCTTCCTGACTAGTTACTGATGGAGGACGGTCAATGTTGGCCACAATGGAATGGAGTTCATCACCTCCTTCATGGATTCAACCTTCCACGGAATCATTTCACTAGCCATGGCTTCATATATACAATACGAATAAAAAAATTCCCTTGCATGGATTTGTACTGTCTGATACCAGTTTGTAAACGACCTGGAATCTAAATCAGTTACCAACTAAGAGTGAAGATGGAATCAAATTAATTGAGTGGTTACTTGAATGGAACACAAACATACATAGAGGGCCAATGCTTCTTTGATTGGAAGCTAACATTCTCGCAACAACAATGGGGACAGGGCACCATGAATTTTGATGTATAATTCAAACATACATAGAGGGCCAATGCTTTATATCACAATACGAATCAATTGAAATTCCCTAGCCATGGATTCGTACTGTTTGATACCAATTTGTTATGAATTGGAATCGAAATCAGTAACCAATTAAGATTGAAGATGGTATCAAATTAATTGAGTGGTTACTTGAATGGAACACAAAGGTAAACTCTAGCAATTCGACAATGCTAGTCTCTTCCAAATGAACTCACTATTTTCTGCATGCCCTATACCTACATCATCCCTCTTTATACTACGTAACTACCCAAAATACCCTTCCTAACCCCTTCTAGAATAACAAGTATGGATGGGCTTGGGCCTAAGGTGGGTACAAAACATACCTCAATAGAAAATGTAGAGTGAGGGTATTAGAAGTTGATATCATAAGATCCTTGGACGAAAAGGAGGAGCAAACATTACCAGAAGAGTGTATATGATAATTTGTTTTAAGAAACACTCCTCTTGCCTCTTTGATTTGAAGCTAAAATTCTCTTAACAACATTAGGGACAGGGCACCATGAATTTTAATGTAAAATTCAAACATACGTAGATGACCAATGCTTCATATTAAAATCCTTATAAAATGCGACTGCAAGGAACCTTATTAAAATTTAACTATTGTGGCTGGTGTGCTCGGAAGTAGGAATAGAATGTGGCTTGTTTGAAGTATATAATATTTATATATGGCAAGTTGAACACACACACTCCTCACCTTTGGTGATGCTTGAACCCTTGACATCTAAGAAGGTTGGGTTATTATGTACTGCTAGGCCGAACACCCTTTTGTAACAGAATGAGGTATGTTCTCATAGGACCCTCCCGATGTGTGGGCTGATATGGTCCAAAAACAAGAATAGGGTGTTAGGCAGGCATGAAACATATACTAAAAACTCCTTGCATATTTATTTATCATTTAAGAGAAGACCTTGTATATATTTAGATCTCTTATGATGCATTTTTTATTTATATAATTTTCTTTCATGATTTTGATTAATATAATGTATAAAATTATCTTATAGTTTTGAACTTAAGATTCATCTGGTAAAAAAAAGTCACAGTGGTGGCACATATGAGATAAAGGTGAGGATGGGGTTGGGGTTGGTATGTGGTAGGAGGGAAAGCAAGGCCACAGTGGTTAACGGTTTGGGAATAGACATGGAGATATGGTATGTAGCAGAAGAGTCGCAACAAGTCTGATCTAGTCAATGCAAGACAAGTTACAGTATTATGCGCATATTGGACAAAATGTGCTGATAGACACACACAATATGTGCTCCTTTAGCACCACATGACATAGGTATGCTAGCTCCCTTCCATTCTCTCCTCTCTGGGATTTTCATAGCTAGAAGTTTAGGAATGTTGGGATTGCAGAATTATTTGCAAGACACTGCAGGCTTATGAATGACATCAATGTTGATAAAATTGGACCGCAAAACTGTATCTAAACAATTCAAGCTAAAACATGATTTTGATGAGACTAAAACAAATTGGGTGGAGTCTTGAGAAGAACAAATGGGTGTTGAAAATACAATGAAACTGAAACGTATGACTGAACAGGATAACATTCTGGGTTTGCAAAAGAGTCCTTCGACTTTGTAAAAGTTTCTGGTCTTTCTGGTTTTTGATTAGTCCTCAATAAGATTTTTAGAACTATTTTTTAACTACTGGAAATTACAAAGTACTCTGTAACGTTTCTGGATATGTGTAGGCTGTTGATGGAAGTCGGGAAGTAATTTCTTGTAGAAAAAGGAGAAGAGGGCAATTAAGTAATAATAGTTGATTGGAGGAGGGGAAGTTGGTCATTAGAGGAGCGGAAGTTGATTGGTTCAGGACAATAATATAGTAGAGTATTGGGGTCGTAAAAGCATTCTAATTCTTTTTCATTCAATTTGTGTAATCGAATAAGAGAGTTTCAGTCTCTCGAACACCGGAAACCAACAATATTCACCAATTTTACAAATTCATATCAAATTGGTATTAGAGCAAGGATCCAATCGATAATCACTAATGACGCATCCGGTTCAATTAAAAATAGATTAATACGATCCGAGATATCGTCGGTTGAAGACAATATACAAAAGATGATGCACCAAATAGAATCGATGATGATG